CAAAACTATAAAGGATCTGTAATTAATACAGAGGTAGGTACTTCTTGGAAGTATAGGTACCACAAACGTACCTATTATACATTTTTTTTAGCGAATTTTTGATTTTTTAAAAGAAGCTTATAGTTTCGCTAACTGTCGATCGTTCGATAATTCGGTTCGGGCGCCTTTTATAAATCGACCGAGATATCGGGTAACGGTATATCGTAGATCTTTCGGCGTTTCAGTATTAGATAATTATGCACAATCGGCATGGAGTTATTCTTGCGTTACTTAGCCTGAAAGCTACTAATCTAACTAATCAAAAATCATCTAGTCTAGAATGGTACGTCAAAAACTTGATTGAAAACCTTCGATTCGTTGGGCCTAAACAAATGGACTATTATTGCAATGTAGCAAATTTTGTGGTAAGATTTTGAATGTTGGTATTGTCCCATTGCCCCCATTTCGATTATTTTTATAAAATGGTAGGTAGGCACCTGTTGCAAAAATAGCACCAAAGAAATGCGGAAGTAACGGGTTGATAAGATAAAATATAAAAGTGAATATAATGCGATCATTATTCCTGTCAGCATTTTTTATACACGTATACAGTCTAGACTTAACCATTGAATAAAAACAGTGTTTTTATTCAATGACGTAACGTAGTCTGCCACCGCAATAACTCGCTCTGCTGTTGAACAATGACAAAGAAATCGCCCATGAAATTATTTACGATAAATGGAGAAATGTACAACGCGGCGAGCGTCCCCTATCTAAGAATAGCCACACTGTATTTCAACGAAATCAGTGTAGAAAACGCGATTTAGGTTTTGAACAACGGTATTTTAATGGCGATCCACAAGAAAAATATACTTTTACTATTTCCAAGGAATAAGAAAAACCCCAACAAGAACTTCAAAACTGTTGAGTGTTTACCATTCTACAATACTTAAAGCATGCCTTAAAGATATTTGTATTTGCATTCATATCCTAGGCATTGTTTTATTACAATTTTACTTCACGGCAAAATATCGATCAGAATTCCCTTGTTTTATAATATTTCCCGTGAATTGTACGAACCGAAAATATGTTTAAGGCATAGTTGAAGGTCTAATTGTCATATTAAGCCTTTTCTCATTAAGGAAAATTGTACGGTTTTCGAAATCGGCTCGAAATTGTAAGAGGTGTTATGCCATATAAAAATAGTACGCGAAATCCCAACCTTAACATTTTTATAATAAGCTTAACATTTCAGAAATAAGTACTACGTAAAAACATAGCTGATCCGTATAGATTATTTTCATCAACACACTAATTCTCACATGCTCGACTTCTTTCAAGTGGCATGTACTCGTAATTTTATCGTTCGACGATCATCGCCTGTCTACATGACGTTTGGATTATTTCTGATGAAGCGAACATTTAGTAGATAAAGAGATTTTGAATAAAATTTTAATTTAGAAGTTACGTTTTCATGACTTTAATACATCGCACTCCTTGAGCGAAACGTGCTTCTGGCACATCAAAAATTATTACTAATGGAAGTTGCATTTAAATGTGACCATTATTATATGATCGATTGATACATGCGTCATAATACTAATTATTTATACACAGAAATGTGTAAGCGTGCACGAATGAACCTATTGTAAATGACATTATGAAACATAAATGGGAATATTATCGCGGATATAACAAATTATAATGGGAGTAGTAACCGGCGTACCAAATGACGTAACTGAAAAGTCATCAACACCCCATTATCCTGCGTTTATTTGTGCAAATTGAATATATTCGTAAATCGTACAGAATTACTAATGTGTTCCATTTAGGTTCGATAATATTATTGAATTATTTCCGTGTCCAGTTTATTGGTCATTAATGATTTTTATATTCACCATTATGAACGAACTCCATACACGCGTCACGGCGTAATCTGTAGAAGAGGGAAAATTATAGTAACGATAAAGAGGTATTTATGTAACTTTGTACCTATGCTGTGTGGGGATTTCATTCGTCGTAAGTTCGTATCGGAGATATATAATTATTACTTGTTGTTCACCCATAAATAGAAATCCAATCCAACTTTGTTAATATGAAACATAATAAGAATTCTCTCAATGTTTTTCTTGCGATTCGTCTTAATTACTTTAACTAATCATCTACGGGAAATTGGAGGACTTCTACTGTTTCAAAATTTGTGAACCGAAACCTTTCATTTTAAGTTACCGATCTGTCAAATCAAGGCAGTGTATGCATTGAAAAAATAGAAAATATATCCTCAGAAATAAGTTAATTGAATGCACTTTTAAAATTTATAAACCATTTTTGGTTTCTCTGCGTTTACGATTAAATGCGAGCGATCGTACTTTAGTAAGTAAACTCCATAAAACTCCACTACCGGAAGTGTCACGGACTCGAAATTACAGTGTGTAGAAAGGGTGTTATGGAAATGGCATTATGGCTGTCAGGTGGTCCCAGTGCCGGCCCTTTTCCTCATTTCAGGTGGTTACATAAGTTCCTGGATAGGAACATCGTCTTCAAGGAGAGCGATGATCGTTAAGAGTAGAGGAGGTCCGGTCCCTCAAAGAAGATTAAATTTCGATTTAAATATTTTCTAACCAATCACTTTGTTAGATCTGTTTACGCACGTTTAATATAAAACACTATTGGAAAGCTTTGTAGGCTAAATACTGAAATCGCGTTCTGGTTTTTAGAGGGAATGGAATCCTTTAAAAGATATACATGTTGTATGCAGATATAGATACCAGTGGCCACCCTGCCTCTTTTTAATCGATCCACCTGCCACCACCAACACCTGCTCATCCGCAAAATGCGATGGTCTCAGTCGGTGCTGGCGTGCGCTCCAGTCGGTTGATGGTACGAAACCACGCCTCCATTATAGCTACCCACAGTATGAGGACTAAGCATGAACCCAGCGGACAACCACGAGAAAAGAGGACATTTCCCGAATCACTCGAAATTTGTAAGAAACCGTTATTCCTTCAGAAATGGAAACGTATTGAGAACCGGACAATTTTTCGGTTTTTTACGGTTCTTAACAGGTTATTGGAAGCGCCGGCAACCACGTCCTGAAAATTGATAAAGTATTACTCTATGATTGCCATCGGTGGATTATAAATTTTTAATAAGGTGTCGAAATTGACGGCATTACGTGTGGCGGTGGCGGTAATTTAGCCAATACTTAAAAAAAATAAAAAAGGAGGAGAGAGGTTTTAGAAAATAAAATTTTCTGTTTCTTATAAATGTATGTAAAAGTATAGTGTAACATGTTTCTATTTTTATTTTTTTGTTCTCTATCTCATTCCGTAAAAATTCAGTAGGGCGTCTATAAGAAATAAGAAAGTAGTAGACTGTAGCTTCTACATCCAGTGTGCTATGGAAATTCTGATAACAGATTCAGAACTGACCATTTGATTTTTTAGTCAAAATTGGGACAACTTTCCCCCCATTTAACCTACACTGTATCTCCCACCGTTATGGAAATCCCAATGGTGAGCCACGAATTTAAACTACCCTGTATATTAAAAATACTGCGTCTAGGAAAGGTTTAATGTCCGCTTACTTTGCGAATATTCATAGTGTAACGTGATTTATAAATTCGGGTTCGATTTATATCAATATTTATTAAACAAAACTAAAACACTATAAAAACTGTACAATTTATATCGACTATTTATATCACACACTTCGCAATTTATATTTCCGCGCTATATGTTTCATCCGTACTCGATCTCGTTCGGTAGTAGACTTCCGCGATGTTCGGTCCGCAACCATTTATACACGCAAGCAATGTAAGTCCAGAACATTCGCGTAATTACCAGATACGTTGCAAACATTCCCACTATCGTGCGCCTAGAAAATTCCAGAGCGCCAAAGGCGACGTCATGTCTGGAGCGTTTCCGTTACAATAGTATGTATGGCGCCGATATCAGTTTAAGGAGCGTAAGAGATTTATTTTCTGTTAAGTCAAAGGAACAATATTCGAATAAAACACACAGATCTTCATTTGTTTTAAGATGTTATTTTGGTTGCATAAAATTAGGCGCCTTTTAGAAGTTATTTTGTCTTTTGAAAGTAGACATAGGGAAAAACAATATACTTAAATCCTTATGTCTACTTCGCTCAGCATCTCAAGCGCAAACGGTGCAGTATATTCAATTATGACTCTGATTGTCACTAATTGGCACAGACCTGTTTATTTCAATAAATAAATAAATAAATTGGTTCTTTCGTATAGCATCTTACGATAAGGTGTGATAGGGTAACCGGTACAGTCATTGGCCACTTAAGGGACAGCGAATTGAATTAAAATTGTAATTTGGTATCTTTTAAAGTGAAATATTTTGTAAGGGTTTCTTAATGATAATGAAACATCAAATTTTACAAAAAGTCATATTATTTTAAGTAAAAATAATAATAGATATTCAAAATTAACACAAATTTAAAAACTTATAAAACTAGACAGTTATTGGCCATACAAACATAGTTATTGGCATATAAAATTACAGTCATTGGCCATTACAAAGTTCTTGATTTTTGAAGTTCGTTTTTTTGTTTTTGCAGGCAGAACACACAAAGTTATCTAAGTTTTCGATTTCTTGTTGATTCTTTGCACAAGTGCCAATATGATAGCCTCTAATACAAAATTGACATTTTATTCCAATTTTAGATTTAGTTATGTTATAAGTACAAGAATAACATAATCCAGTATACAAAAGATTCTTTACAGATGGGTTGGTGTCTTCTGAATGTTTCACCGTTATATCTGAAAGAATACGTATTTTTTCAACTTCTGGATACCCCTCAGTTTCGAAAAACAACTTTCTTTTAACCGACTCACCAGCACGTTTCCCTATGCTGGTTTCCAAATTAGTATATTTGCTTTGGGGCGTATTCTTCCAGTTTGAAAATTTAAAATTGTTGCAAACATCAAAACATTTTTTATCAATTGTGGACAGATTATCATTTTCCTCTACAGAATCAGGAAATTGGTTCCGTTATATTTCTTGGTTTTCATTTTTCGGGTTAATTACTTCTGGTATGTGTACTCTAACTCCACATTTCAAAGTAGTGCTTTTAATTGTATGATTTAAAAGTGTGTCTGCTTTAAAAATATCTGCACCTACACTATCATGTGTATTAACTTTCGGATCTCGGGAAGCATTATTTAGGTCATAATAAAATCTTTCTTTGCTGCTGCCACCAATATGGTCTACTCGTTTGTCAGTAGATAAAGAAGAATTTTCTTTCTTTTTCACAACAGTTTGACTTTTTCTGCTCTCAGCATTATCTCTTGTGGCAATTTTTTTTATTACTTTGATCTTGGTTTCCTTATTTTTTTGGCCCTTATGGTTTGCTTTTGCGTCAATTCGCTTTTGTTTCCGTTCTAATTTTATTCTTTCTTGCTCTGCTTTTTCTTCAATTTTACGCCTCTCTGCATTTTGACGATCCGAAGAAGTAAGCACGAAAGGCAACCTTTCTGTTTGTTTTTTACCCTTTCTTTCTGGGGTTTTTGGCCAGAAAAAGAATTTGTCAATTGAGGTGCCAGTATTTTTCGACAGTGAATTTTCTTCTGTTAATTGTTGTTCTGAAGCCTCTCCAAAGATATCTTGATTAAGTAAAGGGATATTATTGGATGTCGATGGAATATCTAAGGCCATTATATCTTTTGTGACTGTAGTAGTATCTTTCATGTTATATGTGATATCACCGCTTTCTGGAAGTTGAACTCGAAAATCCAAAAGTAGGTCGTCTTCTGTGATAATAGGAATATCTTCTATGTTGCATATGATTTCATTGCTCTCTGCCGGCTCAAGTGGATTATCTGAAGGTATATGGTTGTCTGTGATGATAGAGATATGTTGTATATCATTTGTAATTCCATCGGTCTCTGTAGGTTGAATCGTGGGTAGATCCGTGGTATTTTGAAATTTCTTAAATATACTAAAGAGCAATTTTGAATCTCCATTTAGTTCTTCGGGAGTTTCCAAATTTTCAAATTCTAATATTTTTGCGGCTCCAACTGTGTGTACAAACTCTTCATATGTTATTGATTTTGTCTCAGAAATATTGTGATTAATATCTTTATTCGGGTCGTTGATCTTCCCTAAACATTTGGAATAGTCTATTGCTTCAGGGTTCCATGGATACAATCCAGTTGCTTTAAAGCCATTAATGATGGAATCTGGTTTTAATTCACAAATGGCTGTATTTAGTACCAATGCAAAATTCTCTTTGGTAACTACTGAGTTTGGATTTTCTCGTCTAAATTTTGATACTGCCCTGTTCCAATTTACCTTTAATGGTTTAAATGCAGCAACATCTGCAGGCTGCATAATTCTAGTCGCGTTGGGATACAATGCCACTAAAATGATTTGTAATTTGGAACATAATTCACTGGTTTGAATGGTTAAGTGAGTTTTATGTCCATCGACGAACAAAATAACTGGAAATTTTGTGTTTTTATCAACTAGGTATTTATATAAGACGTTTCCTACGTATTCATAGAAGTTTTCATTCTTCATCCACCCCGTATCGCTACATCCTACGCCCCATTCTCGTGGAACTGAATTTACAACATTGCTAGGAATCCGTTTATAAGGGTAAATAACCATTGGTGCCGTTACTTCCCCGGATGCTGCGAAGGTAAACATAACTGTTAAATTTACTTTTGAGTGATGCTCTATTTGATATACATTTCTGCTTCCCTTTACAGCTAATACTCGTTTATTCTTGGGACACAAGAGAAAGCAGGTTTCATCCCCATTTAAAACACGTGAAGGATCTTGAAGAACATCAAAGTAACCTTTACGATGCAAGTATTCTTGAACACTGGTGAACCATTTTTTTATATCTTTTTCAGACACAACTGAACTTGCTGCTGTCACCGCTTCTGGAGTTCTCTCGCTTAAATCTGGGTGTCGCTTTAAAAAGGATCTATACCAACCTCTTCCGGGGCGATTGTCGGTAAAAGGATTGGCACGCGGATTTGCGTCCAGAAAACCTTTAACCGAGTCTTGTATATCTTCCACTCTCACTGGAAAACCTTTGTCTTGGCATGTTATGATCCAATTCTTTAAACGATTCTCTTCCTCCAAAGAAAGAATAGGATTGGGGCCAAGGGTAGTTTTTTCATTAAACTTTTCGCTTGCTCTAAACTGCAGTGTTGCTCTTGGCACATTAAATTGTTCAGCGGCTTTTCGTTGGCTCATGCCGTTTTCTATGGCCTCAAAAGCAGACCGAAGGTCTTGTTCTGTATATTTTTTGTGATACGTTTTATCTTTCTGAACATTTGGCATTTTTTAATCTAAAAATAAAAATAATTTAAAAGTAATAATGTTAGCTACAATACGCATAATTCTAATTTTATTTTTAAAATTTGATTTCTATTGCCCACATTGGCACTAATTTTATTAACTTAATCTAGACAAAGAATATATTCTTATTACGCATTACAATTATTGGCCACCCGGTGGTTTAGTGATTGGCAGTCGGCCAACCACTGGTTATTGCCATAAAAATTTAAAAAAAAATGCATTAAATAATCTTGTATTTGACCAATAGGCTAAAACAACCTAAATTATAATAAACGTTTTAATTTAAAGCAGGTACAGTAATTGGCCGGTAGGCCAATCATTATAACGCGTACATATTTAAGACACAGTTGTTGGCCACTAAAAATTACCGCCAAAATTTATAACCTTACTTTTAAAACCACCGATAATGTAAGAAATACCCCCCCTAAATCGCTATGAAACTGTAATATACCAAGATACAAAATACTATTAGCCAAAATAACATACCTGTTTGATAGACTTCCTTAACAAATTCTTTGTAAAACTCTTAAAACTGGATGCACCTGTTAAGCTTCGAACAATACGCGCCGTAACAACAAGATAACTAAAATGAGACAGATGACAGTTAGCCAAATTAAACATCAATGTTGCCAGATTGCAATGTAAATATATTTATTTCCTTATAATTTTTGAAAACCTTAATATTTCGGATTTTTGTAAAAGTGGCCACTGTTTTCACCTCTCGATAAGTATCGGGTACTTACCTATCGATATATTTTACTTATCGATAAGTATTTTATTTCATATTTGCGAAATTCGGAAACTATCGTTTCTGTTATAGTGTTTTGGTCAGTATAATGGCCAGTGTCCAGATGGTGTGTTGCTGAAGAAGATGTAGTATGATGTTTAATTGCCAACAACTGCTCTTGTACTCTGACATTTAGTCTCCTATTAGTCTGACCTATGTATGATCTCATACAATTAGTACAACGAATTTCGTAAACTCCTTGCTTTTACCTGGGATATTGTCTTTGGGATTTCTAAGGAGATGTTGTAGAGAACGGTGAGGTTTAAAACATACGCTAAATTTATCTTTAGGAAATGTGTTGGCAATTTTATCTATGATGCCTTTTGTGTAAGGTAGGACAACCGATTTTTTGGGTTATTAGTTGGGTGTGGTGGGTTTTATTGAAAGATTATTACACCCTTTGATTGTCATCTTTATTTTACCTAAAGAGTAGCCATTTTGATGCAACATTTTGTTCAAGTTTTTGAAGTTCTTCTTTTTTTGAGCAATCGTCAGTAAGACGAAAAGATCTAATTTCTAAAGATTTTATTACTGCGTGGATTTGGCATGGATGATGATATGACGTAGCGCTTCTCTTGAGAAAGGGAGCAAAGTTAAGTTTCCGAAACGTCGAGCAACTAAAAATAGTAACTTTACACGAGAGTAAACTCGAAAATGGATTTTATTAATAAAAATAGTAGCGCTCGTTGAAAACAATAACATAATCTTATCGTACCAATAGTTATCGACACATCGATATATCAATAGTTATCGATATATCAATCGTTATCGACATATCGATAGGTATTGATACTTATCGATTAGTATCGATATATCGATAGTTATCGATCTATCGATATATCGATTTTTTTAGCTCTGCCTATTGTTATTTGATATATCGATAATTATCGATACCTATCGATATATCAAAAAAAATTCCCATTGCCTAGAGTAGACTGTAGAAGGAGTACGTGTGACGGACGGACGGACGGACGGACGACAAAGTGCAGCCAACAGCGATTTTTCACTTTGAGGAAAATACGCTAAAAATGTATAAGCTTTTTGTGTAATTTAAGCCTTTCGTGTGATTTAACCTTTTTTACAATTCACAATTACCCCTTTTATAAAAGGATTTAATTATAAGCCCTTTCACAGTAGGAGTAAAAAAGGTTTAATTCCATTAGATTTAATTCACCAAATAAAATTCAATCACGAATTACCTCCCAGTCCAGCCTAGCTCTGCTAATGATACCATATATTGAAAAAAATTCCACTCCTAGTTATAAAGATAAAAGTTATTAGAATAGTTTTTCTGATACTAATGACATATTGTTTTCAAAAATTACTCCAATTAAGTTTAGTGCCTTAGTGGTGTCAAACAAATAGTCATTCGAATAAGTACTTAAGACATGAAAATAGTCTAAAATCATTCTCAAAACTAACAGCTTTTTTGGACAAAACCCTTAAAATTCTGTACCCTGCAATTCTACGATTATTTGCCGTAATTTTTTGTGAACGGCTTAGACTGCAATTCGCATATTAATCGCATTCTATCCAAATTGCGTGTTTTATTTACTGTTCTTGTAAGAAGTGTTTCAGAAAAGTTTCACCAAGCAAGGTGGTCCGTTAAATACTCATTCAACCCATTTCTCTAAAAATTGTTACGTAAATAATTATCAAGGCGTCTAAACTAAAACAAAATCGGTACTAAACATAAAACGATTATAAAACGCGGTTTCACTCTTCTCTTTCTGGATTGTATTGTAAAGTATACAATACAAGTGAATTAAAATGAACGATAAGATCAATTTCTCCGCAATTAAAAACTGTGCCTTAGACCAAAGAGTACCCATAGTACTCTTTGCGTAGACTATGTAAGACCCTTCTGCGTCCCGAGTAAATGTAATTGTATTCCCGTAGTCGAAATAGAGGCCAGTAGTAACTAAAAATTGCATTTACTCGCAATTTTTCTTAAGAACAGAGCTTCTTATGGAAAGTGTAATTGTTCGTGTGGCAGTAATCCCCACATCTTGAATAAAACCTAAAGTCGTCAGTTTTCCGCATCTATTTAATCTATTTGTGATAGTCAAGAATTTATAAAAAGCAAAAGGGTACACAGTAAATGTGGTTCCTTATTTATTTGTTGGCCTAATGCAAGATGGTCTAGCTCTAGAAGGTTCTCCGAAGCGTACTAATGCCCGGTAAACTTCGAATCTCCTTATATATCCTTTGCATATCCGTTACAAATTTCATTGAAGCTGGTCCGTTTCGTTTTCCCCGGAATACTCTTTGGGCCTTTAAAAATTAAAAATCGACCATCGGTCAAAGGGGTCACCTTAACGGCCGACGACACATTTACAAACGTATAAAAATTAGTTCACATCCTTACGATTTCTACCTGATATCCTTTCAAACTCCTTTAGGTCCGTTCTCATGTGGACTGTGGCCACCAAATCTTTTTGCAGGTAAAATTAAAAAAGCGTCTTACAAAAGCTACCGAACCGTGGTCAGTTTATAGGCAAATTTCTAGAGCTGCCCATAAAAATGTATCACATAACGTACCTATATGAAAACCCTTCGGTACCTGTCGGTTAAAACCCTATGACCTCTTGCAATCTGACCCAATTTAAATATACCCCAGATTACCTTAAAAAGGTGCATTGGACAAACAAAACCCTAAAATGAAATTCACTGGTCATCATACCTAAGCTTTTGTACTAGCTATAAAAAAACGGATTGTATGTAGATGTCCTTTTTTGACCGATGGGCATGTCCAGGTAATTTTAGCATTAAATATGGACCATTGGCGACTAACGAACTTTTAAAAAACGTTGCGTATCGCATGCGAAACAAAAGAGCTACAATTACCAGGTTTGTTGTAATTGGCAGTTAACGACACTGATTCATTTCCTTTTAATTTTGATTGTTTTCATACGATATTCCTTTGTAGTAATGATTAACGAATAGCATCTCAATAAACATCCCTTCCAACATTTCAACCCTTTCTCGTCTAACCCTTTGCCAGTGATTGCAAGAGTAATTGTTAATGCAATTCCCTCCTATAATAGTCTATCTCTTTTTCATTTCACCGACAACGATTTGTTTTCTTTATCAGTTTAAAGGAAAGAGGCGTTTGATAGCAATGTATAGGTAAAGATTTGCGATGCTGGAAGGTCGAGATGGCGTTCAGTCGTTATTTGACTAGCATACTAATACAATTGATTTTTCCTTTATGTGATATTTCGTGCAGATAATTAGAATTTTAATTTAATTTAGTTTTTGGTTAAATGTGTTTATAAAAATAAATCTTTTAAAGGCACTTAAAAAAGTGTTTTCTTCTTTTATCTGAGGCACGCGTCTACAGACTCCAGCTATCTCAGAAAAATGTTGGGTGAGTATCTTTATCTTAGGAACGGCAAACAATATAATAGCCTGAGTAATCTATGAATTTTAAACCAAGATCATTAACATTTATATTTTAACCTCAATGTAGTCAGATAAAAACCACTTAAAAAATTATTTATGCAACTGTGCACATCTAACTGGTCGTATGAAATTTTAACATCATTTACATTGTTGTTTAATTACTGGCATCTTGTTCAGTAATCCAAAACCTGAATTGCCAACAAATTTTAACACTTATAACTGTGGAGCTTGTCTTTTCAAATTTTCTACATTTTCGTCTGCGGTGCTTTGTACCGTTTTATACGCGGAAGTATCCATAAATACTGTAAAGATATTGTAATGTCCGCTTTACTGGTTTAGCATTATGGAACAAAATTTGCAAAAATTTTAACAGGCCAGTATTTCTGTTGAAAGTTATACTTGTACGCCATCGAACTAATTTATCCTAAGTGAGCAGATATCGGAAATAATTCCACATTAGCGTAATTTAACGTGCTGTAGATTAATTGTTATTTAATTTTAGATAGTGAATAGTCCGACCCAAAGTAAATCCATTGAGCATTGTTTAGTAATAACTAATTTATTTCATCTCAAAACCTCTGTCGTTCTATTCCTCTAATTTAATTAAGGAATTACCAATACAATCAGAAGGGTTTTTGGGGGTCCACAATTAACAACACAACCTTTTTTGTTGGGGAACAGATAATACCGGGAACCTTTTTTTATTGACCACGGAGATGGATTAACAGGGTAAACGCCCACGCATTTTTTAAAAAGTCTATTCACACGAGTGTTATACATATTGACATCTATGACACTTGCTACCTAAGCATCATTTTATTGGGCGTAAATAAATCCTCAAAAAGAAACGAGTTTTTCATTTAAAAAATAGCTTGTAGAGGTCATAAAAAGTTTCGACTTGACAAATTGTATGTATTTGCTCAATTTATTCGCTCCGGAAGAAAAGAGGGACTACATACTCAATTATTTACCAGTATCTTAGGTTTTCATGATTCCCCAAGCATTCGCACATACTTATCGTTTGATGGGGTGTAGGGAGCAGCTAATTTAAAAAAAAAATAGAAAATGTCCGCAATAACGAATTTGCATTCTTAGCAATCAATATTTTATTTTGAAAATGCTTAAAGGACATTACTTTTCCACACTCAACAAGAAAAAATGTTCAGTTAAACGGATTTTTTTGCAAAAACTGTAAACGTGCGTTATTGTCCTGGCCTTGAGGCTAGCTCCATAAGAATGATGTTTCCTAGGTCACTTGGCTGAAAATTTGCAACCCTTTTGTCACTTTTTTACACCTAGCTGCTGTACGCCTATTTAAAATTGGAATTTATTTGGGATTGGCGAGAACACAAAAATGTCCTGGCGTTGCTCGTGAGTGGAAGGTGTTTAATAATAGACTATATAAGATATTTGCTATGATTATTATTAATTGATTCTTTTTTTATGTTTTATTTTAATTATA